TCAATCTCTGAAGCAGTGTCATAACTATTCTTTTTCGCCATCACTCTTGCTATACTATCGCTAAACTAGATCGCTGATCTGTCTCAATGCTATCATCGCTCGCTCTGCTACAGCAGCACGCTCTCCAAACACTCCCACACTCCTCCTCCTTCTCTCCAATGACTTATGACCTCTCCTGTGGTGCAATACTGCATCCTACTGGTGTTGATTTATCATTACAGGTACATTTGCACTATATATCAGTATTGTGGGTCATTCACAAGGTGCGCGAGACATTACTGTAGCCTCCCGTGTAATAACATGAAAAACTCGTCATGGGCAGTGAGCGTTACTATTCAACATGACGAGTTTTGTCGTCATGGGCAGTGAATGAGTTAAAGAAAGAATCCAGAAAGTTGTCCCCTCGTTACATCGGACCGTTTGAGATTGAACGGGTCGTTAATCCTGTGACTGTTCGTTTGAAGTTGCCTCGTACATTACGGGTTCATCCTGTGTTTCATGTTTCCCTGGTGAAACCTGTTAGTTCCAGCGCCTTGTGCCCGCCTGCCTTGCCCCCTCCTCCTCCCCTGCTTGTCGATGATCACCAGCCTGGGCGGCACGGTGGCTGAGTGGATAGCACTCTCGCCTCTCAGCAAGAAGGTCCTGGGTTCGAATCCCGGCCGGACCAGGGCCTTTCTGAGTGGAGTTTGCATGTTCTCCCCGTGTCTGCGTAGGTTTCCTCCGGGTACTCCGGTTTCCCCTACCACTAAAAATATGTACAATAGGTCTGGCATGCGCCTCCTGTTCGGCGACCCCGCTCCCATCTCTGTGTGGAGTGAGAGACAAGTGCCCAAAAAATAACAATTGTAAACCGCTTTGTGACTCTGGTCTGTGAAAGGCGGTATATAAATGAAGCTTACTTACTACTTACTTACTATTCTGTGAGTCGGGTTCTGGATGTGCGGAAGCGGGGCCGTGGTTGCCAGTACCTGGTGGACTGGGAGGGGTATGGTCCGGAGGAGCGGTCTTGGGTCAGTCGCTCCCTCATCCTGGATCCGGAGTTCCATCCAGGGTGGCCTGGTGGGTCACCTTGAGGTGCCCGTTGGGGGGTACTGTTGCAGCTCATTCCCCAGCTCCTCCTGTTTGACCTGTTTCCTCCCTTCCTGAGACTCCTCGTTACCTGCACCTGGGGAGCTGCACACCTGCACCAGCAACAATCAACAGTCAAAAGCCATGCAGACCTGCTCTCCAGTGCCAGATCGTTCCGTCATGAGATGTGGTGCTACGCTTTGCCTTTTTTGACTACTTTACTTACCTGTTCCTGTACTTACCCGTGTTTTTGTTTTTCTCCGTTTTCTCCAGTACCGTTGGTGTGTCCAGCTCCAGTTCACCTTCATCCTCCACCTGATATAGCCCGGTCTACCCCTCCACATCTGCCTCCCAGGAACCCACCCTCTACTCCTGTTAAATACATACTGTTTCCTGCATCTTTGGGTCTGCCATTTTGTTCGTCCTAACAGGAGCTGGTGTTTGGCTCCTCTGGTGTCCCTACCAATGCCCTTCTGTGCTGTGCTCATGAATTGTTCCATATGCCCACTTATCTTAGCCGCAATGATGCCTGACATGAGCTTCCATGTTGAGGAGAGACAGGTTATTGGCCGGTAGTTGGAGGGGACTGCACCCTTTTTATTTGTTAAAAAGGTTTAAATTATCCAATAAATTTTGTTCCACTTCACGATTGTGTCCCACTTGTTGTTGATTCATGACAAAAAATTAAAAATTTATATCTTTATGTTTGAAGCCTTAAATATGGCGAAATGTTGAAAGGTTCAAGGGGGCCGAATACTTTCGCAAGGCACTGTATATATATATATATATATATATATATATATATATATATAATGTCATACATATTAAATTTGTATTTAATCTGACAACAAAAAAATTACGACCTGTCCTGGATTTGAACCAGATATCTTCTGCACGAGAGGCAGTTATAAACCAAGTGCGCCACTGGATGTCCAGCTCCTGTGGAATTTAAACTATATATAATACATGAAATTAAGTCTTTCAACAAATTTATGCAATAACATATTACTCAAACAAAATTTTTCAAACAATTTATCGCACCTCTGACATTCTTCATGAAGTGTTAGGCCTAAGGACCCAACAAATTCCGTATTAAACGCCATTTATTGTCCAATTTCCGTTTTAAACGCCATTTGTTGTCCACGTGCCGCTTTAAACGCCATTTGTTCCCCACATGCCGTTTTAGACGCCACTTGTTGTCCACATCCCGTTTTAAACGCCACTTGTTGTCCACATTCCGCTTTACATGCCATGTATTCCCCACATGCCGTTTTAAACGCCACTTGTCCACATGCCGTTTTAAACGCCACTTGTTGTCCACATGCCGTTTTAAACGCCATTTGTTGTCCACATGCCGCTTTACACGCCATTTATTCCCCAAATGCCGTTTTAAACGCCACTTGTTGTCCACATGCCGCTTTACACGCCACTTGTTGTCCACATGCCGTTTTAAACGCCATTTGTTGTGTACATGCCACTAATCAGCTTTGGCAGGTGCCGGTGCCACAAAAGGAGCCTGCCCTTACTGTAAAAATGGGGATGGGGACGAATGCTGCACACAGAAGTGGCTTTCTAAAGTACAAAGAGCCTTTGTCATGTTTCCAACCTCAAAGATTTTTCAACCCTCTAGCTCAATGAAGCCCAATAGGGAAGTGCTCATGGACCAAGCTTTGGCTCTTATTGACTTACATTGAAAAGTAAACTATCTGAATAAACTGGATTCACAAAGACAAAGAAAGCGCTAAACTACAGATGATTTAAAGCCAAAAACTGTGAGTCAGACACAAAAGGTTACTGGCCTCAAAGCAACTGCAGTTCACCAACAGCCCCAGCTAGTTTCATCATCAGGACTGTGGTGATGATCCAGGACACTTTAACATTCCACAACATGTATGGACATTTATCAACATTCATGGACATTGGTGTCACTTTATGGACCAATACATATGTGTTCTATATTTTTTGGTCTTAACTGTTGATTCTCTGATATGTGTTGGTGATTTCAATGGTTTTGTTAATTCCTCTGAGATGACGTCTGTTGTGATTTAGGGCTATAAAAGAATAAATTGTATTGTATTGTGTTGTATCATCCATCTTTCCATCAAGCGCACAGCATGATACTCCCCCCATAATTGAGAAAGGATGGTGCCTTGAGGGTGATGAGCAGTGTTGGATGTGCTCCATACATGAAGTGTTCAGGTCGTTTCGATCAAATCACTTCATCGTGTTCTGTTACTTTTTAAACATTACGTAGGAGTCCAACTATGAATTCTACCTCAAGAAAAACATTGATATTATTTGATGAGAACAAGGTAGTAAAATTGAACACATTCAGTCTTACCTTTGAGTATGACGAGAGGATAATCCTAAAATCCAGTGTCCGCGCAACAGCAGGTGAAGAAAGCGGATGTGTCACACCTTTGATGAAGTGTGAAGATTAAGATGGGAAATAGTCCTGCAGCAACCAGGGTTTGGGATCATGTGGGTGATCTCAGGGACCAGTAATCTCATTGGCAAGATGTTATCTTACAAAATACGTTGGCAAATAAGAGACACAGACAAACACAATTGAGAGATAGGAACTGATTCATGCACTATTGGACTAAAATAGTGCATATAATAATTGTATCATAGTGACATGGTGTGGATTATTGGGTATTTGGGTTTTATTTTGACATTAGTTCTCTGTGGTTTTGATTTAATCTTACTTCCTCTCCTGTTCTCTTGTTAATGTGTTTTATCTGCGTCTCTGTCGATATGTTCCTTGTGCTCATTCCAATCTGTTGCTGGACTATTGTCAATGTCTGTCCCTGTTCCTGGTTCTGTTTGGTTTTACTCAGGACTTTTATTCCTCTGTTCGGGAGGTGAAGTCACTATAGTGTTTTCAGAATGTGAAAGCTTTGCACTGTAACAGGGACAGACATGTTGCTAAAACGGTTGCTAAGGCAAACCGGAGGTTCTCCCACGAATGAAGGCATCTCATAGGTTAATCCTTTTGGCTCATATCTCGTTATTTATGAAGACAATATCAAAACAATGAACACAAGGACCATAAAGAGCTGTAAACAATGATTCCCGAGATAAATTAGTTCCAGACAAATATTGCCAACTTTAGTGAGTCCTATGTCTTATGTTATGCTAAAATATGCACAGTTTTTCAGGTCGCTGTACAGATCGCATTCAATTGCATCATTCATGTCTGACATTGTACTTTCATCTAGTCACGACAGATGGAGATCTCAAACATATTTCAATTACATTCACAAAATACTGTTTTACAAATTCACAAGCCGCTGTAGAGAGCCCAGCTTGGCTACTATACACTGTGTGTTGTTTTGAGACGAGCAAAATTCCACGCCACTTTATACGAAGTAAACCGTTTCTGCATGTTTGGGAAATTGGAAGAATATTTGAGTCTGTCTATTTGCCTGGCTCTTCAAAGTTCTTACTTTGTGCTTGTATAGTTCAGTGCCTTTAGTAAAATCCTTGATATTGAATCCCTGAAATGTGTGTTAATAAAATGAGGCAAAGAGCCACAGAGACTGGCCGCAGTGACTCACAAACTGATGAAACATAATTCAATATTTGCAAAATGAAATTTCAATTGGGATTTAAAGATTATTCTCCAATTACAAGTTGCCTCACATGTCCAAGAGCTCACACCTGATTGGCTGACTGGAGCTGGGACCCGCTTTTAAAAGAGACACAGCTTCTCCACTGATCAACCAACTGCAAACTCACTTTCTCACTGCCACAAAGAAGACTTCTGGTATGTGTTTCCTGCTTTTGTATTTTATTGTTTTGGATCTGCTTTGAAATCAGACAGAGTGGCCCAAAGCTTCATAAATCGCCTCACATGGGCTCGTTCTACCTGTTCAGATGCTTTGACTTGACTGTATAGAGACATGTGTTTGTGTTGCAGGTGTGTAACCATGATGAAGGTGATGCTTATTATGGGATGTCTGCTGTGCCTGAGCCTGGCCTCCACTGTAAGAACCACATGTTACATTTCACTGGGAGAGCACTGGGAGCAGCGTGGACTGGAAACTCTGGTTATTGAATGAGTGCAACCTATAGAATTGTGTTTCCTTCAGGGCTTGGGCCAAAGTAGAGTCACAGTTCTACAGGAGGTAGAACGTAGAACAAAGCTATGGAAGATTTGACCACAATACAATGTTTTTAATAATAGTGTAATAGTGACTTTGCTATCCAGATACCACTCTCGCTTCTCAGCGAGGTCCTGGGTTCAACTCCCGGTCGGAACAGGGCCTTTCTGTTTGCAGTTCTCCCCGTGTCTGCGTAGGTTTCCTCCGGGTGCTCCGGTTTCCCCGACCACTAAAAACATGTACAATAGGTCTGGTATGCGCCTCCTGTTTAGCGACCTCTCTCCCATCTCTGTGTGGAGTGAGAGACAAATGCCCACAACAATTGAAAAGTGCTTTGTGACTCTAGTCCGTGAAAGGCGCTAAATAAATAATGATTACTTACTTACTTATTTATTTCAGTAGAAAATATATGGTGAACCATCAAGGTTCAATAATGATAGATGCTATGCCTTACCCCATCTACCACCAGAGGGAGGTAGCATAGGCAACACTGCTCTGAGTGTGATGTCATAGACGTACAATCACTCATACTATTGCAGGACTGAGACAGGAGGTTTAGACAGAAGGGGCGGAGCTACTTGCTTATGCCATAAGTTTATAATATTTGGATCTAAAACATTTCCTAGTTTGTGACTGAAGAGAAACAATGTTGGTGACAATCTGTAAATGTTTGGGTTAGTACATGTCTATATTGGTCATAGCGCCAAATCCTTCTGACCAAATAGTGTCTTGCCTAAGGACAGTTTTGGCACAGCCTTAAGTTATTAAAGCAGAGGAGTCAAACCGGTTCCAGAAAGGGCCAGTGTGGCTGCAGGTTTTAATATCAACCTGAGCAGGAAAACTCCAGACACCACCATTTCCTCAAATCTTCAGGCAAAAACTGGACTCACCTAAGGAAATGGGTGGAGTCTGGTGTGCTCCTGCTCAGGTTGGAACTAAAACCTTTAGCCACACTGCCCCTTTTTAGACCGGTTTGGCATTGAAGGGACAGGTACGTTAGTTCAAAACCTCTGAAAACGCCTTTGTATTGTCATGTTTAAAAGTACATTGTCCTCAATCTAACAACAAGTGTTTTTACAGGGGCAAGAGAAAGCCAACAGCGACAGCCTGGAGGTGAGTGTAACCCACACTAATCACTACTTTTATTTGGAGATCCGTTTACAACTAAGAAAGTGACAAAATGCTTTAAAATGAAATACAGTTAAAAACAGGTGAATATAATCTCTAATAATCCCTCATCATCTTCATCTTGTTGAATTAATGTTTCCACTTCCTGGAAAAGGACTTTTAGATGAACACACTCAGATGGTTTCATTGCACCAGGTTTATTTGGTGAATGTGCAATCTTTGATTCAGTTTAATCACATGTTGTCCACAATCTGTAAATGTTTGGGTTATATGTATATATCCCAAACATTTACAACTGAAGGTCTTGCCCTGTCCTGAGCAGGAAATCTTAGAATTTACAAGATTCTGAAACACTATTGGATACAACTGTGTGAAAAATAGGAGGAGAATGCTCATGAAATCTTCAGATTCTCCGTGTTTTAGGACGTTGACATAAACACAATACTGTAACATGTTCTGATGGATATTGATCTCCATGTTTCTGTTTCAGAGGGATACGGCTCACCAACGTGTAGCTCGCTCTGGCTCAGACTCCACCTCAAACTCTGGTGAGAGCACCACCAGAGCTGCCACCACCAGAGCTGCCTCCACCACAGCTGCTGCAGGTGCTGCTCTTAGTGCGGCACAAATACAACAACTGATTCAAGCGCTCACCGCAGCACTGGGGTGAAGCAGCAGAGACACCGCCGCTCTGATGGAGAACCCCTGAAAACTGCACTTACTCTGTGTTTGTGTGTGTCTCAATAAAGAAGCAAAGATATGATCATTGCCTATTTTCTTCATCAATATGTTTCAATAACACACATCTTTTGTTTTTTTTAAAGGTTGAGGTAAAATTAAAGGGTTTTTGTTAGCTCACACACACACACAGAGTTTTCCCAACATTCTTCAGCCTCAGCTGAACGTACACTTGAATAAAGGACTGATTATAGTCCTAAAATAATTGTGTGACAAATTACATGTTAGCAAATGAGAGATCAGAAAAGCAATGATTGTGAATGCGCACATAGGTTCATCAGGGATAAAGCATCAATGAGAAAAAGAACACCTTCCGGGCCTTGCAAAATTGTGAAGCATAGATGGAACAATGGACCTCATTTATGAAACTTCTGCGCAAGAAGAATATACACCCAAAATATATATTTTGGGTGTATATTCCAAATACGCAAGATCCAACATGGAATTTATGAACATGTGAGATCCATCCAGATCGGAACATAAGCACCTGCCTCTGTTGATAAATGCAGCGGTTGTATTTATGAAAGTCACTCCTATAAAAATGCAGCAACCGCCTGTTTCAAGCCCCGTTTTAAAAACATATCTGAATGGAAGTCTGTTTGAAAGCCTCCAAAGGTCTGTGACACGACCTCCTGAAGAGCTGAGTTTGTTCATGTTTGTTCAAAAAGAAATATACGCTATATTTAGCTGCGTTTCCATTAAACATGTTTGCAAAACTTTTTGGATTGAAAAATCTCTCTTGAATTTTAGGAGTAAATAAAAAAAATCAATATTAACGTCTCTGCCTCAGCGTTAACTGGATTAAGCGTGTGAAGCATTTTCTTGTGAACGCAATGGAGCGGCGATCTCTGTACACTTGAGAGAGGATGCGTATGAGAACAAAAACCTGTCATGGCTCCCGCTGCATACTGCTCAAGAGCCACTGCCCAAGAGCCAGTTCCCACAGATAAGCATGTTGCCATCCTATCTATAAACTGCTACATGTGGACAGGGCAGTGAGACATTTGGAGCGAGCAAGACAGGCGTTTATGGGGTGTGCGACGCTTTATGCACAAAACTAATGATAAAATACATAGCTTTGCCAGATGTGAACAATGAAAAACAAATAGCCATGCGTAATTACGTAGTGCAGGGCCTGCCACAGACTTATGGAGCAATAGATGGATCACACATCCCTGTTTACCCTCTCCTCCTTCCTACTTTATCTGTTTAGCATTATTAGGATTTTGACTGTAGTTTGTGCATTGCTATTCACCCGTTGTCCCATTGTCTGTTCCATAGTACGATGACGGGACCTCTGGACCTGGCCTCCTCCATCTACACCTGCAGACTGCCCTGCCCGACCCGCCTGGGAGTTCCTCAGTCCTGTACCGGACCTGTCCACATTCAGCGGCCGCTGGCCCACGTCCTGTAGCTTAGGTCCTGGATCTATAGCCCATCCGTTCGTGGGAGCGGATCCCTTTCTCAAACTGTAAAAAAGGGTTTCTCACTTCTTCCCACTGGGTTTTCTCATGAGTTTTTCCTTGCCGATGCAGGAGGGTCTGTTGGACAGTTAGTTTCCAACTAGAAGGACTGTGGTGATGATCCAGGACACTTTATCATTCTACAACATGTATGACATTTATCAACATGTGTTCTATAATCTTTGTGTCTTAACTGTTGATTCTCTGATCTGTGTTGGTGATTTCAATGGTTTTGTTAAGTCCTCTGAGATAAATTGTATTGTATTGTATTGTATTGTTATTAAATAAAGTATATTTTTATAGCGCCTTTCACAGACCAGGATCACAAACCGCTTAAATTTTTTTTAAACATAGCGGGGGAAAAAAAAATTTTGTCAGCCAACCAGTTGTGCAAGTTCTCCCACTTAAAGATGAGGGAGGCCTGTAATTTTCATCGTAGGTAGAGTACAGACCAAACACCTGAGTTTTTTATTTCCATGATTATGAAAATTGTGGATTCACACTGAAGGCATCAAAACTATGAATTAACTTATTAATTAAAATATGTCTTAGATTCTAGGTTCTTCAAAGTAGCACCTTTTTCACTGATTACTGCTTCGCACACTCTTGGCATTCTCCTGATGAGCTTCAAGAGGTAGTGACTTGAAATGGTCTTCCAACAGTCTAGAAGGAGTTCCCAGAGATGCTTAGCACTTGTTGGCCCTTTCACCTTCACTCTGTGGTCCAGCTCACCCAAAAAACCATCTGAATTGGGTTCAGGTCCGGTGACTGTGGAGGTCAGGTCATCTGGCCCAGCACCCCACCACTCTCCTTATTGGTCAAACAGCCCTTACACTGCCTGGGTGTGAATCTACAGTCAATAGTCATGAAAAGAAAGGAAACTCATTGAATGAGAAAGTTTTTCCAGACTTTTGGTCTGTACTGTATACCTCAACTATGAGGTATGCAGTACAGACAGAAAATCACAGTGTCTGATTTTTAAAGAATTTATTTGCAAATTATGGTGGAAGATAAGTACATGTATTTGCTCACTTACAAACTTTGAGGATTTGTAAGTGACAAAATGTTGTGGCTCTCACAAACCTGTAACTCCTTCTTCTGTTGTGATTTATTGTTGTGATTTAGGACTGTACAAGAATAGATTTAATTTCATTAATTTTATTTAGTACAGAGTCATTGTTCTTTCATCTTGTGCTGTGCAACTCATTTCTACTGTTCTGTTACCAGTGATGCAACACTGAACATTTTCTCCTTTGGCTCCTCTTGACTTACATAAAAAAGCAAATTCCTCTATTTCCTCTAGCTCTTCCAATTTCAAGGTTCACCGCTCTGTAGGATATTTATTTTGATAATGTCTTAGTGAATCTAGTCATGAGTCCTTTAACTGACCAATCAGGGGGCTTCCCCTCCACAAATTCAGCTTTAGCTCAATACTGATTTGCGCTTTGGTTGCTATGTTGTTTCTACCAGTGGGGGCGGGTCACAGCTCAAAAACGTTGATGAGCATGTTCTCCATACATACTTGCGATACAACCCTGAGCCGGCGGGGCCAGGACGCCATACAATGCTTTTGTTTGCCGTCTTCTTTCCTCTTGAATACGTTCCAGATGCATGTCAATGCTGAGGGGAGTATATATTTTTGGACCACTCTAGTTTAGCCGCTGTGGACTTCAGAAGACACTCGTGAATGAATGGGGCTGGTGCTGGCTAATACAAGAGCAAATGCGTTTTTCACATTTCACACTCATGAAGCGCTATGGGTGACCTCGGCCTGCAAAAATTACATATATAAATATAGATTACCCACTCACTTCCTTTATTTAAGTTCTCTCAAATTATTCATGTCAAGTGGCATAAACTCAAACATTGTAATAATTTAATAATAAATACGTTTACTTAATATAAACTCAATGTTAAGTTTCTGATCTACACTAACCTGGCCTTAGCCATCCGTACACTCCGCTCAATCATCATTTTCCTGAATGTAACGTCTGAGTCTGGTCCCTGTGTAAGCGATTACAATCAGTTGAATTCCATCCGGCCAATCAGCGAGTGCGGGAGGCGGGTGTTGTAGTTAGTTTTGAGTGATGTCAAGAGTTTGCGCCAAATGGGCAGGTTGTAGTTTGGCAATGGCGAAGAATGCGATAGTAAAGCAATCAGGTCTGGTTCTATCAAGAAATTGAAGCCGGAGCAAGAGGGAATGTTTAGCAAATGTTATTGCTGTCAAAGATTGTGGCGCTACTCCCCACGGGCTCCGTTAGCGGCAAAGGAGATGGCTAGGCTAAATGCTAGAGACTCACTCGGGCGCATTACATTCGTAACGGTAAACTCAGATTCAATCGTTTCAATCTGTAAAAGGAGTTAACCCCTCCCACCTGTTAACGGAGCTCAATGGAGCACCTCCAGACCTTAGTACAAAATGTAATTTGTACTATGGTGTGGTTTGACCAGGCTAGATCTACACAAATGTTTGAGTTTATGAACTCAAATGTTTGAGTTTATGAACTTATAAGACACCTAAAGACAATTACAGACAAGCTCAGGAGCGACAGCTTTACCAGTCTTTCAGGCCGGGGACAGCAGCCCACCCTGGCACACTCCATTGCTGACCCCAAAGGAGGCGGAAATAGTTTTCTCCCATTTGACCTATATTGTCTGACTAGACTTGAGTACCAGTAAACCTGGATTCTCTCCTACTTTATAAAGCTGATGGTGATATTCTGTCAAATGCCATTGTGGCATCTCTTAAGTACAATTCATTTACGGTATATAGATGGGCAATGCTAGCCCGCTAGCTCAATGAAGGCCAATAGGGAATTCCTCACGAACAAAGTTTTGTTCCAGCTTCCCCGACTTCTTTTGACTTACATTGGAAAGTAAACTGCACTGTTCCCGCTTGTACCACCACTCACCACTGTGCTTGGAAAAATCTTGGTTTAGAGCTCTTTATGCTCATTTTGATTATATTTTGAAATTGTCTTTGTAAATTACTAGATATGAGCCATAAGGATAGACCAATCAGAGGTGTTCATTAGTCAGGGACCTTCCAGGTTTCCTTGGCAACCATTTTAGAAATATGTCTTCCCCGTTTACAAAGCAAAGCTTACATTGGCTTCTTCTGCATTCGGCGAACACTGCTTCAGCACTCGGTCAGTCCACTCCCAATATACAGTCTATGTTCTTTTAGTCCAATAGTGCATAAATCAGTTCCCAGCTCTTAATTGTGTTTGTTTCTCTTATTTGCTAACATGCATTTTGTAAGATTATTGCAGCAGAGGAACAACACAACATCTTGCCGAGATTACTGGTCCCTGAGATCACCCACATGACTCCAAACCCTGGTTGCTCCAGGACTATTTCCCATCTTAATCTTCACACTTCATCAAAGGTTTGACACATCCGCTTTCTTCACCTGCTGTTGCGCTGACACTGGATTTTAGGATTATCCTCTCGTCATAGTCTGAACTGT